GCCAGGCTGGCTCCCTGGAATAGTGATAATGTTCTGCTCAAGTTAACCTGGATCTCATGGGGCAAATATAGTTTAAATCCCTGGCCTGACTGGCCCTGCTGGCATGCACGCAAGGGCTCAAGATTCCTCTTTCTCCTTTCTCATGTACGTGCACACATATTCTATCACGAATAAAAAGAAAAAAATCATTTAAAAATGTAAAAATAATTATTTTATTTTATTTATTTATTTATTTATTATTTTTCAATTTGACCAGAGAGAGACAAACAGAGAGAGAAGGAGAGCAAGAAAGCAAGCTGTGAGGTCCAGGACTCAAACCAAGGTTGGCCATGTGGGAGTCTAGCACCTTAACCACCACACCACCTGCCAGTCCCAGAAAAAATCATTTAAAACTTACAATAAAAGCAACTAATCCGAAGCCCTTTTTCTATAGTGACACGCCTCCCTCTCCAGGTGCTGGAAGATAGGGAATGGGGGAGACAGAGAGTGGGGAAGAACCACAGAACTCTCCCTCCACCGTCCACACCCAGGAACTCAGAGACAGTCACACTCAACTTGGCTTCAGCGGCTCAGCCCTCAGCCACGTCCTAGAGGGACCCCAGCCCACCCTAAAATGCCTGCCTGAGAAAGCTCAGGCTGCTGAGAGAACAGACTGACTGTTCCAGCCGACACCTGACCGTAGGCCTCAACCTCCTTCCTTACAGCGTTTACCAAAACGGGCTTGCAGTTGTGACTGTGGACTTCCTGCAACGAGGAGCCTCTTGAGGACCTGGGCACCACAGCCCTGCAACGTCACCGTCAGGAGGAGGACAGACTCCCATCCCTGACTGCTGCCAGCAGCCATAGCTGCCTCCTCGGACGTACTGTCCAGTCCTCTGTCATTATTCCCCTGAGCCCTGCTCACCCGCACTCTCTCTCCCTTCAGTCTCCCTTCAAAACCCAAAGTCATCTCTGCTAAATCACAGTGGAGCTCGCTTCTCCCATCCCTGTCTGCAGCTATGAACATCTGACTGTGTTTGCCTCTGAAAAGGGTGGCCAGGGATTAGGCACTGCCTCCAGACCCAGCCGCCCTAAAGGCAGAGCGAGCCCTCTGGCCAGGGAAAGAACCAAGAACACAAGCCACATGCCAGCCTCCGCCTCCCAGTGAGTAGATTTCCTGAGGGAACTGGGAGGAAAGGATTAGCATTATTCTCTTGTACACAAATGCCACCCTCTCATAGCTGCCAGAAGTCAGCGTAGGGCAGGAAAGCAAGTGCCCAACCTCCTCTCACGATGCCCTGTGCAGCTGCCCTCCCTGGGCACAAGCCACCTTCCCCACAAGGCCACAAGGAGAGGCCAGCCTACATGGCAGCACTTCTGTCCTTTGTCCCCTTCCCGGCCCTTCCTCCTTCACTGGTGTGTGCAGGATAGTCACCCCAGCCAAACCCACATACTCCCAAAGCATGTACTGGGTGTAACTGAGTATGCAGATGCCCTTTTCCACTTGGCTCTGCTGTAGGGGACGCCCTTTGCGTCATGCCAAGAGTTGTCACTCTTGCAACAGTGGCACTGGCAAAGATGAGCTGGAGTGAAGCACGACATGCTGAGGCACGAGTCACCCTGAGATCCTCGGGTGGCTCCTCACCTACCTAGTCCTTCGAAGGCCGCCCGCAGGCACTGCGGTGATGCCGCCAGGGCGGCTGCAGGGAATGCCCTGAAACCCTGGAACCTGCCCTCTTCCTCTATGGGAGAAGTGTAGGTCCAACCGGAAGTTCCCTGGACTCTCAACGTGGATGCTATGCTCAAAACACAGGCTTCCCAGGGACTGGTGGTGGAGCAGTGGTAACACAACTGGACTCACACAGGAGGGTCCCAGGTTCACATGTGGGGTCTCCCATTCATGCAGAGCATGGGCCCACAGTCCAGACTGGCTAAGGCTGAGGGTGGGCCATGACATGAAGATCCTGCCGGGGGTACTCTCTGTCACTTCCTAGCATTGAAGACATAACTTAACAAACGTAAAACAAAATGGACCAAAAACACTGGCT